TTACTTCATATGTTTATACTATTATTAATTATTAATTATTAATACGTAACTACCGTCACCAAAATTAATAATACGTAAAAATTATTACTTATAAAATAACTATCATGCACAAATAATTAAAAGAAATTACGTAAACGCGCGTCGTACGTTGGAAATGGATGAGTACCTATCTAATAACACGTAAAACGTTCGACCGCCTATAATGCTGCGCGTGTTAAATTTCGATTCGGTATCCTCTCACCCGTTTCCCTCGCCCTGTTCCTCGATGTTTTATGCGTACGCGCTTGTACTACGCTCGAATATTATAAAAAACAATGTCCGGTTAATAACTCCGTAAATCCCTTTAATAATGTTCGACTTTCTATCCCTTATTTTTCTTATTACTAATTTTTTCTCTAAATGCTTTAATTTCCTAATTTACGCGCTTTACCATTTAATTTTCTAAACACTAAAAATTAATTTTTTATTAATAATTATTCTATCAACTTATTCTAAGTAATGTCTTCTTATGCTAAACAGTAGGAAATCCTATTTCCGTTTCTAATATCCGATTTATGCCGATTTACAGTATATTATACTAATTATGTACCTGTGGAATCTGTTTTATTGTTAAGTAGTAACTTGCTTACTACAATATTACAAATACCTATGATGACAAATAAGATCAATTGTAATGTTAAATACTTAGTCAACATAATATGTTTAACTATTTGGCAGGACTTAGAAGTATACTTAAATAAATATAACTAAGTAATCACTACAATATTTACAGTAATTAATAATGTATCAACAATATGTTGACTAAGTATTTAACATTACAATTGATCTTATTTGTCATCATAGGTATTTGTAATATTATAAAATGACATTTTACTTAATTTCCATATTATATCACGTCTTTTAAAGATTTAATCATAACAACATTTTTTTTTTTTACAAGGAGTTATAACGAAGTGTTTTTGGTGTGATAATATAATACTGTTACCGTGATTGCGTAACTCGTGCCATATCGGTTTTTTGGTCGACGGCGGCAGCAGCGTTCCTGGCAGATGTGTATGCGGCGCCAGAGTTGATTAAAAACATGATTTTTTAAAAAAAATCAAAAAAATTGTTTTAATCGTTTAAAACATGATTTAATCGAGTTTAAAACAAAATATGTAATTTATTTAAAAAAAAATCATTTATTTAATAATTTAATATCATAATTTTTTTATAACTTGAAGTGTAATTTAACCATGGCTATCGGTTTTACACTTAAAAGTTGTTTTTGAATATTTTGATAATGATTGATGATAAAGAACTGATCTGCTATCTACATCGTGATAAAAAATACTGATTACTGTATTTACTATTTTCAATTTTGGCGGGTTTGCGCCACAATATTTCCGATTGTAAAATATGATAAAGGTAATAAATAATAATATGATATAATAATATGTAATTTAAACAAATAAATAAATAATTAATAAATATATTACCTACAGAAGTAATATATTACATAACCATTGAAGTGTTAGTAATTTAAATAAGTAAAATTATCATTATACATTTTAAAAATTTTAAATTTGTTTATGAAATAAAAAATAATAATAAATAGGAGTTGCCAGTATGAACTTACAAATAATAAGTTATATGCACATAAATGATGATTTTACTGTTTTAAACTGTTTTTTTATGTTGTTTAAATCATTTGTTTTAAACGTTTTAAGCAAAACCATGTTTGATCAATTTAGATGTTTAAAACATGTTTTGAACAAGTGTTTAAAACAAAATGTTTTAAACATCTCAACTCTTCTATGCGGTCGGGTATCGTTATATTAATATTCTTATTGTAAAGCCACGGTGGGCTAAAATCGTCACATTGTCGAGTTGTTATTTTATTATGCTAATATTTACTGTGAATTATTCTTAATATCGATATTCACATATATGATATACCTACTATATATCCCTGAGACCGGTCAGTTTGGGAATTTTATAATAAAAGGTCTGTTAAACGGGATTTATACATTAAGATATATTTATTTGATTTATATTTGATTTGTCGTGACGTGTAAAAATATATCTTATATTATCATTATGCAAAGTGTGTGATCTATTATTCGTGTCAACAAAATACTTAACCTCATAGACTCTTAAGCGTCGTGGTATATAGTATATCAACTCTAGGGAGATTTGATACAATTGCCTATGTACAGTAATTTATAAATTAATAATTCTGTAACTAATTTTCATTCTCCAAAATGGTAGTATGGTACTTACTTAGTTTTGTATAAACATGTAGTAAATTAAAAGACAATCTTAATACATTAAGTCGTTTGAATATTATATTTTACTTATAATTTTAAAATGTATTTATTCTCTATACCGGCTGAGACACGATTGAGCATACATTGTAAAACAAAGGAAATTGAAATACAAAAGAAAACCAACACGATTGAGCATAAAAAAGTCTGTAACGTTGCCATTTTCAATATTGAACTGAATTATACAAAAATATTTATTTAAATAATTATAATAATTGAAAATATAACATGGCATAAAAATATCATGTTTTCATAGTCAATATGTAATATACCTAGTCACAATATAATAATACAAGATATAGATCTGTTTTATAATAATAAAATAATAATAATAATAGTTATGACTTATGAAAATAATAAAATCAAAATATTTATAAATCAATAACAGTCTCAATAGTAGTCACATTATAGTACAGTAAATAGATATTCTTGCTAATAATAAAATAATAATAATAATATTAGTTATGACTTAATGAAAATAATAAAATGAAAATATTTATAAATCAATAACAGTCTCAATAGTATCGTTTTTCTACGGAACTAATTTATAAATCTATAACATTGTCGATTGCTGCATTCGCGGTACCATCGATATTATTATTATTATTAATGTTTACGCGAGCAACGCTCGCGTATTATAATAAATTATATTTATATTTACGCGGTGCGTCTATTATATAATTATCAGATTACGTACATATTAGAATGATATTTAGATTGTTATTTGAGAAGATAGTCACAGCTCGCTACATAATTGACATTATAATATAAACTTACTAATATTAGGTGTATAACTTATATTTACTATATAATATATAGCATATTATGCTTTATTACCGTATGTACATAATAGTACAAAGTGTCTACGTTCTGCAATGTACCTTTTTATCCGACAGTACAAAGTGTCTATTTTCTCACTTTTAATGATAGACTTTACAAAGTGACCTAGAACCGAAGTTTATACACCGACCTGTCCGTTAGATTTAATTATATTACGAGATATTATGTTAAAATTGTTTTTTTAAACGTAATTTAAGAACATTTTGTACTTGTTCGGATTTGCAATTTTTTTATCTCTCTTGGAAATACGGATACACCACTTTTTATTTTTGAAATTAAGGTATAGAATCATTTTATTACGTACTACAGGCAAGAAATCTATATAATAAAATAATTATAAATATTCAAAATTCGAAACAATAATGAAACATTAATAAATATTTAGAATATTTCAAAAATCAAACACTCTGATAAAATTACCATTCACGTAGTGGTATTAATATTTAATACATAAATAATAATATATCTCAGGCCTATAACGGTTATTCATCAACTAATTAATTTAGTGTAATCAATTTGTATAAAATTAAATATTAAAAATATAAAATAAAACAAGTTAACTAGGTATACAATGAATTATTATCTAGCCTTTTATTGTTGTTATACAATACTCAAGGTACTTTTAAAATTAAATCAACATTTGCATGAACTTGGAAACTAAAATGAAAACAATATTGGTACATTATAAAAAGTGTTTACTTTGCAATTTGTTGCATTTTTGTATAATTTATATTTACTGTAATCTAAAATTGCATGGAATATTAGAATTTATATGATTGCTTATTTTCAGAAAAACGCACATTGCTCAAGGGTCATGTTTGTCAGCAGAAGTTTTAAATTTTTGCATAACCGGAAGAGTTTATCATTGAATCAATGTCTATTCCTAATCATCACGGTATGTACATAATATTTATATCAACTAAAGATCATTCCTGTATATAAAACTCCCTCCTCCAAGTAACATACAACTAGGTAGTGCAACTATTATGCTGTGCTGCATAAGAAGCAAGGATTGAAACCATATTTATTTTTTCCGATTTTGATTTGGGTTAGGGATATCGGTATTTATTTTTTCTGATTTCGTTTTTGGTTTTGAGTACCGGTTTTTATATTTTTCAATTTCGATTTCGATTTTGATTACCGGTATTGGTTTTTTTCGATTTTGTTTTTAGTTTCGGTATAGATTTCGGTTTTTAACGGTTTTAACCAGTATTCAAAATCGGTATCAAATATCGGTTTCAAGCCCTGAGTCAAGAAGTTGTATTTATAAATGTGCTTATTATATCGATATAACATTATATACCTTAACCTGCTGGCTGCTACTGCACTTAGATTAGGCACTTTTATCCACTGTTGTACCAAAATAACAATATAATTAATAATGCCTACACTTACATATTATTACTCGATCAGTCGATAATATCGTGTATAATAAATAGAAATTGCCCTTTAGTCGCATTATATTCAATATTGCATTTACAATCTAGACATCGGCTCAGACATCTAGTGAAAATGTGCAACTATTATAGGTACTCGTATTGAGTAAGGACATAGTAGTATAGTACCTACAAAAATGTGCTTATTACATTGATATAGGTAGTAGGTACAGTTACACACAGTATGAACCTAACCTACCCGGCAATCCCGATTAGGTAATTTATCCGCAGTTAAAAACAACAATATAATAATAATATCTACAGTCGCTACAACATATTATTAGGACAATAATATCGTAGTTATTGCACAATAAATATAATATATTATATTATATTATATTATTATATATCACATTATACATTGTACAATGTACGATATAACCCATAAGTTATATTATATTCAATAATGTAATTGCAGATGAACGAAGTTCTCGCAGAGACCGATTTGTTAGGAACTACAGCCACGAACGGAATAACGACCTCAAACGGAACTATGACGTGCAAGGAGCGATGGACGTGTTCGTCGTGTACGGAAACGACAATGCAGCTATGCAGCTGGTTGGTTGCCGAACAAATATGCACGGACAATACGGCAGTGAAAGTGCAAAGCCGGATGATGGTCACCAACGGGTCGTCCTGTCCAAAGTTTTCGGTCAACAATAGGGTCAACGTATTGAATGACAACCAGATTATAATGTCTACGGTTACGGTTGATGACTGGAACATGGGTGGTGGTTTTGTAAATTTGTTAGCCAACAGCAGCGTCGTGTGTCAGTCGGGCAAAAATACCTACAAGGCCAAGGTGGACGGCAACCAAATCTCCTGTTCCTGGGAATCGAAGCTAACATCACTGTACCATACCAGGTGCCAGCAGTTAGTACCGCACTACAATCATTTATCGATCGTGTTCAATGGAAAATTTTTGCGATTCGACAACGTCAGCAACCACTATTTGACCACGTACCCTGGGGGCGGCGATTGCCCAAAAATGGAGTGCCCTCATTGTCACTGGAACAACGGCACTCACAGGTTTTATTGTACTATGTGTTCAGTGGAGAACAACACTTTCGCGGACACAATACCGTACTGTGACGTACGGAATATTTCGAGTCTCTTGTATTTGGAGACCATCAACATCCGAAACGATGAAAGGTGTTCTAGCAAAGGTCCAGTTGTAATTAATTATTCTGTAACTCCAAAAATTAATCTTCAATCAAAATTGTTCTTAAATCCCGGGTCCGGCAACAGTCAAGTGGTGAACCACAGTTCTCCGGTCCATCCAACATTGGACCACGGTCAAGTGTTTGGCGGTATCGAGTCCGGCAGCACCACATTTTGGGTGCATGGTCAACATTTTTCCGGATTGCGGAATGTGAAGTTTTGCGTCAAAAATAGATACTGGTGCGGCAACTGTGATGTCCGGAACGACACGCATATGGTTTGCCGGACTCCTAAGATCAACATCCATCCGGAAGATGCATTTGAAAATGAATATTATGTGTTGTTTTTCGCTGAAAAATCTATTGGAATAAAGTATAACTTCAGTTTACCGGATTTACATTACCAGCGATATCATGATCCGGTTTTCACGGACTTCGTGGTTGACGGTTGCTGCAATGTTACCGTAAATGGCCTGTACCTGGACAAAGGTTTCACCGCTGAGGACTTGTCCATTATACTGGTCGGCGAAAGCTCGTCCTCTCGTTGTCAGATCACTTCGTTGGACAGCACGCAGATCATTTGTAAGGTGTCACAGTCATCGTCATCTCAGTTAGGCACTCTGCCAAAACAGCTCAATGTCACGATAGGCGGCAATCTGAATGTCATAAAACTGTCGAAACAAAAATACATTCATTTCAAAAGTTTATTGGCTCGGATTTTATGGCCGGGTGTCGTCACTATAGGCGCGTTCGTTTCTTTCATTGAGGTTCTATGGGTGGCCCTCGTATTTTTTAAGGCCACCAAGGAATATGACCTATTGCATTTACATGGTGACCATCAGCTTGCAAAAATGCGACCGCTGGACGAACGAAATCCCAATGACTACGACGAAAATGGCAAACCTGAAAATATGTGGTTGGTACGTGACGAATGTCATTAATTCGTTTTCGGATATAATGTATTATAAGACCATTAATTAATTTATTAACTACCTATATGGCTATATGATATTATTATATTCCATTCCTAAGAATTTTTAAACATCTTGTTCTTTGATAAATCTATACATAGGTATTCATAATTATGTAATAAACGTTTATATTGGAAGTAATATAATATAATAAAACATTAATATATAATTTGTGGTTGCAATTGGTTTATGATTTCAACTTGTTAAAATGTCAACTATATGTACAGTAAAAATTGGGTTTCATATATTGTATAGTGTATACACATTATAAGCTACACCCAGTGGCGTCCGCAGGGGGGGGGGGCTAACAAACTGAAGCCCCCAACTCCCATTGCCCGTATTATTATTACTTTAAAAAAATTTATTTATCAAGTTTCAACTGTCAACTATAGTAAGCAAGACATAAATTTCATATACGTCTTACCAGAATGAATTCATTTTTGAAAAAACATTGTATTTTCATGCATTATCTGTAATTTTTCGGTAAAAGTACCTATGAACTACTTGTATGAAAGACTTTGTATTAAATTGTGTAGCCTTAGCTATATTATTTAGTATACATATTTTATATTTTATAAGTTTTGTACTAAAAATTAACTGTGGTTTTGACAAAATTTGAACTTTAAATACTTATCAAAAATAACCATGATGCCTATGTATCGTTAATATTTTAGCTATAATAAAAACTTGCATATTACATTTTTAAGCTTTTGACCGGATAAATAATTTTTTATTGACTTTTATAGAAAAAAAATTTTTAATTTATCAAATACAATCCAAGTGAGGACGGTATAACCAAGCTGGTTACCAAACTATTTTAATATATTTCCATTTTTTTTCTCCAATTATTTTAAAGCACTGAAAATTTTCAATTTCGACCTCCTAAAAGTACCAACTAGATCCAATTCGCTTCCAAAAACATACATCGAGGATTGAACCTTATGATCAGAGCATTTTTTCTACCAGAAAAGTTGAAAAGTCACAAATATTTCAAAATATCTCAAATAAACGCCTGAAAATAATAGACTGGACTGAATAAAAACAAAATTGTTACTAATTTTCAAGCCCCCCCCCCTATTGAAAAATCCGCCACTGGCTATACCTACATATCACACAACCTAAAATGTTTATTTTGTGTATATAATCAAACGTATCCTGGCTCAGAAACATAAATTCTATAGTTTGATAGCTAAATAGGGACTTGCCATTTTCATAGTACCTTATTCGTATCACCATGTATTGGACAATGGGGCACTAAATAAAGATTTTTTTTAATTCGCATTAGAATCTCATATGATCACTAATCACATAAGGATTTTGAGATTCACAATAGAAATTAAAAAACATTTTTTGTTTATAAATGATTTCTTAGGGTTACAGGTTATAATAGTGGTAAAAGATATTTGTATTTATTTTTTTTTTTTGTAAATAAACTGTTGCCAAATCGTTGCATTTATTATGATCTTGGATAGTGAAATTATATCTAAAAAAAGTTACAACAAATATGAAAATGTATAAAATGTGAGAATGATTCATATATATTATATATGTTTATTTTTTATAAGTTATAGACTCATAATTACTCAAAAAAATGATTGATATAGGATGAATATTATGTATGTTCTGGATCACCTCCCCCTTAAATTTTACATGTAAAAGCATAGGGACCTCTGTATAGGCAATTCGAAGTACACGCACCTCTCAAACTTGTATTAATTACTCAATATAGGCAACCCGCAACACATATAAACTCTTTACACACCACCCCATCCGACAAGTGACTGACATATATTTTACCCTTTCCTAAAAAAATACATTACGTCCCCTCTTATTTTCCCTTTAAAAATAAAATATATAATATTCTGATGTACATTTGTATCGACTATATTATACATACACACATACATACATATATACATCCATAAATACATACATACAAGCAAATATACTCATATAAAATCTAAAAATATTATACCATTTTCGGATTATAACCCCATTCGAATAAACATCTCGCTAAAACATACGTTATACATCGGAATGTATCTCAAACAAACACACATTCAAATATATTATAATATAGTTTACATATATACAAACTTACATATTATATCCAAAAAGTTATACACACATCATTATCACAAACCCCTGAACATATTACACAATTTACATAATATATAATTACATATCAATAAAAAACATCGTTAGCATACGTTACATAGGTATATTTTATACATACAAATATGATATGACCATATACTTGCGAACTATAATATACCTACTATCAAACACACGATAACATAATATAGTATATGATATTCTCAATAGGCCAATAACGATCTGAAATATAATTAGTTATATTATATTTGTAACTTGCCTATGGAAAATTTTTAGTTCGCCACGCCGCGCCACTGCAAACATACATACAAATATTATACAGTTTTCTTATTATTTAATTACATACGAAAAAACTACTCGCTAAAGCATACGTTGTACATAGGAATGTATCTCAAACACACACATACATAAACTTGTAAACAATTTTATTTTCAAAATATACATGTTAAAATATAGAGATATTTGTTTGCATTCACACATTAATCTACCTGACAACATACAGAAATATATATATATATATATTATATATGTATTGTCAACCGTTTACAGATGTCGATGAGTTTCGTTCATCCTTTTCTCTGGCACATACACATACACTCATATACCCATAGGATAGTTCATACATATTTAGATACTTACATATTATTTACATACATACGTAAGTAGTATACATTTGTATAATATTCTGAGCACCTTTTTACAGGGAAATTTCGTCAGTTTAAGCGGGAATTTCTACATGATCCACCGTGTAACACAATATTTTCAAAAGTATTATTATATTCATTATAACAAACACCTAAACATATTATAAAACTTACTTATTGTACTATATTATATAATAATTCATTCCCATACATAGTGCATACATAGATATATGTATACAGTATTCATACATAAATAGGTACTTTCATATTATACAACATCACATATATCTAATCTATTGTTATACAGCCTACACATCAATATAAGACACTTCTTTACAGAACATACATTACATGTAGACACACTCACACATAAAATACATACTTACAAAATACTTAGTCACATTTACGTAGATGCATTTAAACATTCCAATACATCCACCTAAAAATTATTTTAAAAAGTACGACATAGCTCATCATTTGGTTATACCTACTACTACAAAATTGTTATGCCTAATAATCATTTCAATAGTTAATTCATGTTAATTCCATTAGATGAGACCATAGTATCTAAGCTTAAACACGCACATAGGAAAATATCTCAATTAAAATCGATAGATCTACCTATTTTTTATTCAGCTCAGAGGATTAACCCACAACATACACAAAATTATATATTTATGGCACACAATATTACGCATTTATGTAACTAGTAGGTATACTGACTAAGGAGAATACAGGATATCGACTCTGAGGGTCTTAGACGTAGATTCGAGTATAGTTTGATCACTAAATGCAAAAATAAAACTATCATATTTCTACAGTGGCGTAGCCAGGGGGGTTTGGGTGTTTAAACACCCCCCATTGACATTTTCCTCCCTAATAAAAATATTGTTTATAGGGTTTGGGACTGCTCGCATTATTTTAGATAAGTTATAAATTTGTCTTATGAAATATTTTAAATGTCTAATCAAACAAAGTTTGAATTTGCATATTTTAGGAAAAGTGTACATTTGAGAGATTTTTCGCATATTTATGCATATTTTGCATTTTTCTAACTTAAATGTAGGTACATACAAATGTCGGGAAAAATCATATTCGGATAACATTGAAAAATATTTTTAAAAATATTATGTTTGGTTAGGTACAATAGGCTCTAATTTTGAGATTTGGGGAGGCCGAAGCCTAAAACCATACTATTATAAAATTGAATTAAAAAATTTAGTAAATGATTGGGAGGGCTGTTAAAGTTGTTGGTGGAGCTTGGCTATACGGTTTGCCATATTTTCGCATAGTTATGGTATGCAAGATTTTATAAGTCTCTTTGTGACAAGACTGTGTTAAAACTATAATTGGCATCTACATTCCAGATTGTACGAAAAAATGAAAATCAGTAGAACGTGTTCGTTTATCAAGGTGTTCTCATATCACGTTATTCTTTATTACATATTTATTAACCTAGTATTTTATTCCAGTACTTTTAAAAATCAAGTTGTTTTATTTCACAATAGTTTAAAAATGTCCAAAACATGCAATAGTGTTCCGTCCATCACATTAATCAATATAGGTACCTACCTATATTAAAATTAGTAAGCCCGTGTATGAATTATTTATATACCTACTTATTTTTTAGTTTTTTTACCAAAATTGTAGTATGTTTTATGAATTTTTCAAAAATAATATAAAAATGTAGCTGTATATATTTAAGAATATTTTGACAACTTTGACTGCATCATATTTCGATAATATTTAGTGCAACAAGTCAAGTCCCGAACCCTAAATTTGTTTATATACGAAAACTGTAAAAACTTAGTTTTAATTTATACTTAACACCCCCCATTTCATAATCCTGGCTACGCCACTGTATTTCGACTTCATCGTTGAAACAGTACATTTTACGTTAGAAATAATACAAGATTTATTTTATTATATTTGAATTAAAAACAAATATATTTACCTATATATCCTTACTTTTCATTTTAACCATATCCACTAGTCTATATTATATTACCTAAACTCGTCTTATATTATATATTAAGGGATTATTATTTCCAAAATATCCACTTTTAACTATAGAGTTGCATAGTGTTCGCGCAATAAGCAATTCGCTTATCGCGGAAGACGACTCTGCGCGACGGCGACATCTCCCTTCTCGTCCAAACACCACTCCGTCCTTAAATTATTTAAATTATTCTAAATGTTATGTATATTTAT